CTCTCCAAGTGTCACTAGCGTTTCCCACATGGGCGTTGAAGTCCCCCAGGAGAATAACGGAGTCCCCGGGCGGTGCACCGTCCAGTACCCCTCCCAAGGACTCCAAGAAGGCCGGGTACTCTACACTGCTGTTAGGCCCGTAGGCCGTCACAACAATGAGAGACTTGTCCCCCACCCGGAGGCGGAGGGACGCGACCCTCTCATTCACCGGGGAGAACTCCAACACGTGGCGGCTGAGATGGGGGGCAATGAGAATAGCCACCCCAGCTCGCCGCCTCTCCCTGCGAGAAACACCAGAAAAGTGGAGCGTCCAACCCCTCTCGAGGATTTGGATTGCGGTGCCCGAGCTGTGTGTCACCCCCAGTGAGGTGACGTTCCACGTCCCAAGAGCCATATGCTGTGTGCGTGGACTGGGTCGTTGAGGTCACCGCCTTCGACTGCTGCCCAGTCCTCTCAGCACCTCTCCACCACGGATCCCTCTGTGGGTGGTGGGTCCAAAGGAGGGCCTGCCCATGTCATCCCTTTGGGCTGAGCCCGGCCGGGCCCCGTGGGCTAAGGCCCACCAGACTCTCGCATACAAGCCCCAACCCCAGGCCTGGCTCCAGGGTGGGGCCCCGGCTGCGCCATGCCGGGCGACGTCACGGTTCTCAATAACATGCTATAGATGGTGGGTTTTGGACTCATCAGCTGAGACCTGTTTGCCATGGGAGACCCTACCATGAAGCTCCAGACAACATAGCTCCCAGGATCATCAGAGTACTCAAACTCCCTTACCACGTTAAGGTGGTAGTCCAGGGGGGCATAATATTCTGTAAAATAATCCATCCATTTTCTTCCCCTTAATCTATTCCTGGGTTGGAAGGTGGCCAGAGATGCCACTCAACCACTCATTACACAGAGCACAGCTCTATGGCATAGCCTTAGTCTTTCAGAGGGGCCTTCAGGCAAAGTGGGATAAAGTGTCTTGCCCAAGGATACAACAACAGCAGACATCAGTGGGAGTTGGTGGAGTAGGTCTTGTGGTGGGCTTGAACCCATAACCTCTAGCCTTAAAGGCTAATAATGCTCTACCAACTGAGCCAACTGAAACTAATGACTTCTGCTGGAAGGTTTACAGGTATACTTTATAATTAAAAGCTATATTATTTTGTTATTTAAGTGTTTTTCATAAATGTGTTAAAAATATCTGTGTTAATTCCTGGTATAACATATCAATTTCTCATTACCGAAACAGTGAATCTCTCTACCGCAACATGCCTTTAACTGTTGCGGTGTATGATAATGCTGTTGCGGAGTATGAGTGACCTTGAAATTTTCCGCTGTCTGCGAAGGCACCACAAGGCTTAGCTAAACTTTAGCTAGCTGTTTATTTTTGGACCATAATGAAGTATATAATAAACAAGAATTTTTAAATAAAAAAAAAATATCAATGTTAAAAACGTTGCGTATCGGTAATGAGAAATGAAAAGTCGTGTAGCTGCTGTAATGAACAAACTTTTAACTTTTATCTGGAGAGAAATAAAATTAGGTGCTTATCTGGTAGCTATTTTGAGTGTCACTGGAAATGATGTTTCTCCCTTCAGAATTCTTTGATTTTGTAAGTTCCTTGTGGACTTAAACGATTATTGAAAATTGTTGCGGAGGATGAGAAAAATGGTTGTGGACAAAGTTATTTTCCTTAAAACTTTAACTTATTTTATACAAGAATACCCAATATCACATGTTTATTTATTGTAACTGTTTATAGTATAACATGCACTGATAATTTATACATTTCATTTGTTTTTTTTTTTTAAAGTTGTATTTCAAAGTTCTCTAATTCAGTAATGGACGCGTTGCGGTAATGAGAAATTTACTATTAAATATGGAAAAAACAATAAAAATATTTTTATAATGTTCACTTTAAATCATGTGCAACATAGCCTGTGATGACATGTTTTTAAATGTATCATTATAATTTCCATTGCATTTACTTTGTTCATCTTATTCTTCATGCCACCTTGTAAGTCTGATTTCTACTATATTCTCGGACCCATACAACACCCCACTGCTTATACCACTTCCACACTGTCGAACCATGTTGACTTTTGGTTTGAATAAGTGGCCAATTAGTAAGCTTAGCGGGAAAATTGTCCAATCCTTCTCTCTCCTCACCATCTTCTGTAGTCCTAATCCTTCTTCTTATTTCCTTCTCTTCCCTTACACACACACACACAACCCACACACACACGGCTGACTGGCACTCCCCATATAGTCTCCCATACATTAGCGCTGTGTTTTAATCTTCGGGGAGGACTGGACTGCTGTCACAGGGCTTCCCGGTGAGCCGCCCCTCGCTTGGTCAACGGAGCGGTTCCCCTCTATTTGTATTGCAGTGGGCGGTGGGCGGATGGAGCTGCACCGCGAGCCGAGGTCAGCTAGTTAAACGCGAGATTGATTTTATGCATTGACTGGGAAGGGGACAGGAAGTTGCGTGGTGTGAAAGTATAAATAAAAGTTGTGTGGTTTTTATTCATTAATTGGTGTGTTTTTTTTTTTTTGTCTTCTTCTTCTTTTCTTCCTCTGCAGAGCCATTCAGGGCATCAGTGTGGGTCATGATGTTTGGATGCTCTTATGGTCACTGCATGGCTCGTCTTCATGTTCGAGTACATAAGTCGCTTGGCTTCAACAGGAACCTGGCACATAGGGAAAGGTAAAGAGAGCGCTGTGTTCTAAAGACATATATTACATGAAGTGTTGACATGAGTAGAAATGAGAACATGGAACCCAACCATCAGCATTATTGGGATGATTGAAGGAAAAGTAAATAAATCAAAATGTGATTATATTATGAGATTCTGCTTCTGATAGCAAAGAAAATGATAACCAGTCCCCTGGCTCAGACCGCAGCCTCCCACCTTCACTGAGTGGAAAAAAGACAGGTTTATGGGACGTGTTTCAGATTGGAATCCAGAACGGCCGATGTCAGATGAAAAACTGACGCATATTTACAGATAATGGTCTTTAGTTCAGATATTTGTCAAATGGATAATTGCTGTATCACTTTTTGTGTAGGTTGTAAAATAGTTTTAATATGGACCAGACATCAACATATTGTTATCGATACCTGTACCTATATTTTACCTGTCTGATTGTATTTAGTAAAGAAGTGTTAATTTGCACCATTTATAATAAAATCAAGTTTAAAAAAAATAATTGAGAACTAAAAAAATGATGGAAAAAACTTTATTTGCTAAAGTTTTCAAAATGCTAGTAGATTATAAATGTTATAGTTTGAGCCCCGGTAGGAGAAAAATGCAGGTGTACAGCAGCAGTAAGACTATTTTTGGTTGTTGTACAGTCAAGGTTTGGTGTACAGTCCTGTATCTTAAATTTGCGCAATTTCTTAGCAATGGGACAAGCAATGTTATCTATGTGTTAAACAGATACAGTAAATGTCTCTTGGAATGAGAAAGTTCTTTGAAAAACAGTTTATTGTATTAGAATAATGGCTATTTGTACTCTCAAGCCGAAATTACTCAAATTAAGTAAAAAAAAACCAATCAATCAAGCAATTATTACGTCATTGTTTTTGTGCAGTGAAAGATACATTTGGACTGCACTTGCATAAAGATCCAGTGATAATCAGAGGTGAATATTTTAGGTTTGTGTTATATGGTGTGTACATTTTATAGGTTAATCACACCATCATCAAAACCATAAAAATCCAACTACTGTGAAATGTCATCGTCCCAGTGAGGCACCATTATTAGTCGGTTGTGATTGGTGCTTAAAAGTAACTGTAGCAAGAGCAGGCGGATAAGCACAGAAAGCAATAAAGACCACGGTTCCGATGTTACCAATCTGGACTATCCGCAATAAGGGCGAAGGGGATACGAAAACACAGTTATGCTTTTGAATGCCTTTAATTTTTCATTATAAAAAGTCAAGTCACAATAGGACTTTGTTGGGACATGTGCAGCAGTGACCTTTAATACCAACAAACCATGTAATGTTAGGTTATCAAGGGCATTGTGCTGTAAAATTGTGATTACAAACGTCATTAGGATGCCAGGATAAAATACTGGGGATAGGATTTCAGGTGCAATAGTTAGACTCTTGCTCCTTGAGTAAATAGGTACAGGGTTTGATTCCAAGAGTTTGGGGAATTTCTACAGTGTTGCGCAGGTTTCCTCCATGGTGATCCAGTTTCCTACCAGTGTACAGTAGCTATTCTTCTGGAGCCGGGGACTTCCTCAAAAACACATTCTGAAATCTTCAGACTTTTGTAGTTAATAATATGGTTCCAGTTGAGATCTTTGTAGGACTTCATTTAGATTTCCTGGCTGATATTCGCCAGATGTCAAAGTATACGAGGTTTAATTTTTTTCTACAGAAGTTATTTATGTTGTTTTTTACAGGATAAACAGCTAGTTTTAAAACAGTTGGATCCAATTTGTAAACAAGTTTGCTGCGATGTTTGGGAAGAATTAAGCTATCTGAGTCCTTCACTGGTTTTCTATTCATATCTGTCAATGTCAGATGTTGAAGCCAAAGTATATGTTCGTATGGACTTGCATAAAACAACTTGTCTCTGACTCCCCATCCTCCTCCTGGCTACTGCCTGTTTGCCTGTCATGCTGATTGGTGCATCCTAAGTCCACATAACACCAACATATGAAAGTCATTTTGCATGCATGCACGTTTGAGTTTTGTGATACACCCAGCTCACCCTTTTACATCTGCACACGGGCCTAATTCAGGGTAGATCATTCCCACAGGCTACGTAGGGGATGTGCAAGATATGTTTACAGATGGAAAAGCCAACAATTGTTTCTTGTTCTAACAAACCTCTGCCACCCATAATTGAATAATAAATCACGAATTGAGATATACGAAAAAGGCAAAACATTGTATTCAGAGTGTATGGTTGCTGCACATACAAAAAATCATCGTTTATGCATCTGCTATATTTAGCATCCCCGCCTCACCTGCTGTTGTCCTTCTCCTCAGACCCCCCCATGGTAAGTCCTTCACATGCGCGCGAAGGCCGTTGTGGCTGCTTGGGGCTGGTCTTCAACCACTCTGTGCCGTCCAAGAATCCCAAAGGATCCCACCTAGAAGTTCATCGTGTGCCGTGTGGGCCTGTCTTCGCTGTCATCTTCCTTGGCCTCCTACACTGCTATCTGGCTGCCTTCATGATCCAGGAGGAGTTTGGCGGACAAGTGACGGGGCTCTCTGAAACAAGGTGAGAGCACGAGCAGCGAACAGATTACTCCACAACGGAAGGGTGAAGACAAATTGAGCTATTCCCCCACACACCATAATTCACGTTTAACGCTCTCTACACCAAGGGATATATTTATTTGCTGAAAAAAATTTGTGGAGTTGTGTAATGCTAGAGATTACCTTGCATAACGCCAGGTTTTCTTATGCACACACAAATGAAACGATTGGTTGTTTAATTCGTTTATATAGTTGAAAAAAATACTATAGAAAAAATTAGGTTTTTGATTAACCACAAGGACGAAAGGAAAAACATGATAATATTGCAAAATGTGATGTTCAGTTTACAGAATACTGATAAACATTCAAAAACTGTATTCTGAATAGGTGTTTAAAGTACTGGTATTATGAATTATACTTCCCAATTCCAAAATTCCATAAATACAATCTGTTCTATTATTTGATGAAACAATTTTAAAGGTATGGTTCTGTCATCAAAAACTCACAAAGAAACTCAAACTCTAAAACTGAGCGATTTCTCCCCTACACACCCACATGTCGTTGGACCATACTGGGCCATGCGGCGGCGTAGTAGGGGGTACGGTGGCTGTTTTGGGATACAACTTTGTCAACGCTGGAGCTATGCCAGCAGCCGTTGTCAGCCCAACATCCGGAAATTGTCATGTGTTAATGTTTTTTTTTTACCAGAAAGCTCCACTGCCATATCACTTAGGAACAACTGTGGCACGGTTTGAGATGTTTCTGAATAATTATTTTGGTTTTTTATACATCTGCAACCAGCCCACAATGATCTATAGAGGGACAAAAAATACATCTGACTTTTTGTATATCTTTATTCTAGGGCATACTGTCCTTGCTAATACTCAATGGATTTCAAGAGCCAGCAGGCACTCCTCAACACAGCCATACCATACAAGGAAAGGCCGAAGCTATTTCACGTTGGCCAAAGGACCCACCATTGAATATGAATAGGTTTAAATAGGAATGCGATTATCTAGGGAAAATAGGCCCCTGTGCATTTAATGGATGCTGAGAATACGAGTTGGAAAAATACACATTGGGTATTTTAGAATTGATTCAGGTCGCCATTTCTTTTCAGCCCATTTTACATTGGAATCCGAGTCTTACTCAATTTGCTGAATGGTTGTGTTAAATCCGCCCTGTCTTAAACATGCTTCTGTGTGAGCTTCCATCCATTGTAGGAAGAGATTAGTTTTTTTTAATTTAATTTTTTTTTTTTTTATTTTTATTTTTTTATTTTTTTTTTATTTTTTTAACCCACGGTCACCTCAAGTTAGCCGTGTTCTAATTCACTTGTTTAGAACACGGCCCGGGACACGAGGATAGTTCCATGCTTTCGTTTTTTTTTTTTTTTTTTTTTTTTTTTTAAGGTTCATCCAGTAGATATAGAGATGCTTTAAATTACATTTTGTGCTGTCATAAGATCTAAATTATCTAAAATAACAGAACATAAAATTGAAATCACTTTATAAACTAATAATGTTATTGCCTGCTAAAAAGGAGCAAAAGTTGCTGGATATTCCAAAAATAATGTAGAATGTTCTATTTAGTTTCATTTGTATGATTGGACATTGATTCAGAGTAGAACCTGGTCTCCCCCGATGGCGACAATCCCGTGCCCCAGGGTGGATTCTGCAGTTGGGTTGTTAGGCTTAGAAGGAAGTCAATCGAGCAGATGTTGTAGCCCTAAAGCCCCTAAAGCATAGATCAGAGAAAAATCAGGACTGGGAGGCTGAAGCCATGAGCAGGACGATCAAGCCGGCCTCAGAGATTCTTGGCAAACACTATATACTGTGCCTCAGGACGGGGACGCAGAGTGTTGGCAAACACACTGTGTGACAGAGAGACGGGTGGTGAGCGTTGTGTTGGGCGGTGAAAGGAATACTTTGAAGTTCTCCTCTATCCCCTATGTCCTCACTTTGGAAGAGAGCGCTGACGATCTTGACATGAATACTTTCAATCTCCTGGCTGAAATTAGCTTGAGGTTGTTGGAGCGCTCTTCCTTCAGTGATAGCACTAGGTGTCCTTCAAAGGTAGGCCATTTGAGGTGGCCTGTATGACCTGCCTGTACAGGGGCATGTCCCACAAGAGAGATTCAGGAAAGACAGGACACGCTGGAGTGACATGTCTCTCAGCTGGCCTGGGGAATGCTATGAGCAACCTACAGTAGTAATTCAGTGGAGAATGTATATGTGTGTATGGAGGAAGGAATCTGTGTGTTTCTGGTTGGGACGTAAGTATTATTGGTTGACCTATCTTAACCTAAATAAAAATCCGATCCATCCATTTTCTACCCTTTAATCATTTCTGGGTCAGGGGGGTGGCAATCAGAGATTGCCACCATGTCTCATTAGCACAGCCCCTCAATGTCCCTTAACAAGTGGTGAGTCCACAGGAGGATGGCTGCTCTATGAGAGTGAGCATAGCCTTGATTCTTTCACTTAAATAAAAATAATTGAAAAAAAAAACTAAATAAAATAATTATCTAAAGTGAAGTGCGATTAGTATACAAAAAACTTTGAATAGATATTACAATCTGCAGTTAGCTCAGAGCTGTCACAATTGTCCACTTTTATGAATATACAACAACATACGTGACTTTAGTAAATAAATTGTTGAACCGACACGTAAAACCTCTGCTGCAGCTCGCTTCGGGTCATGGAAAACGTGCCTGTCTTCACCCTGTCCGCTCCAGGGCCCTTCTGCTGCGCTCCACTCACTGCCCTCATCATTTCTTCATCAGGCTTTCATTTAACAGCAGATGAGTGCGCAACTCCAACGCCTCCCCCATAATACCACCGCACACAAGCCGTGTTTCCAATCTACGCCCTCCCAGTACACCAGTCAGTCATCAAGCATCGCTGCTGCTTCCAGAGCCCCATTCACTGTGAGGCGCCAATGCAGCAAAACGCTCACCTGACACTCAGCATAATGTGTTTTTGGAAATTATTATTTGTCGGCTTGCTGGAAAATTGTGATTACCTGACAATGCAGGAAACCACTGGAAGTCCAGCCATGGATGGAAATAACTTCCAAATTAAATTCAAATGACATGTATTTTTTGTATAGCCTAAATCACAAGGGATGGTTATCTTTGTGGTCTTACAAAGCTGTCAATTCGTCCAACAAGATCCAAGAAAATCAAACCGTTTAAATACAGGAAATGCAATGATTAACAAATGAGATAGACTTTCTCACAATGCTGAAATGAATATACATTTTGAATAAATGGGGACACTGCAAAGAGACAGGAAATGTGCAAACAGCAAGAAATATGCTAACGTTGTAATTTTTGGATTTGAGCAGTTGTAACTCCCCCTTTTCATTTAGTTTATAACATAGAGCTCGTGGAAAGATACAAATATAATGATCTGACAGAGGTTTATGTGTAAGATTCAGATTCAGATAGATAAATTTATTGCATTTGCAGTAAACACTTGGAAAAAAAATGTGCATGATACCCCGGTGTGCACCACACACACCAGAGCTCTTGCCACGGCCGCATCTTTTACGGCGCCATGCGAAGAAAAGGTGTAGAAAAATATCATGTTTTAGATCTTGAGTTTTAGGTCAGATATTATAATGATTTCCCAATGTTTTACAAAAACGTTGAGGTAGATAAGAGGCTCTTCAGAATATTTTACAGACCTTTATACGCACGGCGTAGTACTTGCTTCCATCAGTCTGTCCCAGGGCAGCTTGTGGCTTACAGTTGTAGTTCACCATCACAGTGTATGGATGTGAATGTATCAAAAACTGATTATCATTACTATACTTAAAGAGAAATATAATTAGAATAGTGCACATACTCTGGACATGCACTCTCTGGCTCAGTGGGTGTTGGCATATTAATGTGGAGACACTAACTGTATTAATCTTATGGAAAATGTCAAATTGAAAGACACCTATCGATTGGGCTTTATAATTGCTTTAATTAAATGTTTTGTGGGATATCAATTATCTTGTAGGTAATAGGATGGAACTCTGATATTGCAATTCAAGATCATATGAAAATGCTGTGTTTTCATATTATTTACATCGAGTCAAATGATAAGTCAAAACAAAAGATCTGAATTGGCATCTTACCATATAAGCTGAGGACTTTATGTAATTACATGCATTTAACATTTACTGATGAGAGCTCTGGACATTTGGTATGAAGACAAGCAAAACAAAATGGCGAAACAAGCTTAGTGGATTGTCAGGTAAATGATTCAAATGACTAAATCATTTACAATTTCATTGCATTCAAAACACCTTTGTTGGCAGACCAAAGAAGGCAAGGCTTTCCAATCAGGTCCTTCGGCTGCTAAGACCACCAAAACAATAGTTTGCACTATAGCTTCATACTGCCAGGTATACCAGGCGAGTTTTCAATCCATAGCACTATCCAGGGTGGATTGCTTGATAGAGTTGATCTGGAATGCACTTCATATTTGCACCTCTTTATTTATATGGCCCTGCTCTCTTTGTTGTGGAACATGCACCAGCTTAGGGTTTGATTTAGTAAGGGTACTTGAATATAAAACCAGCTGTGTGAGAGGAGGATTTAGGAATGAAAAAGACATGGGTAGAACCAGGGACCTTTGGGAAGTTCATCTTTGATGCTGACTATATCTTGCTAAAAGGTCAAGTTGCATTTTTCCCTCCTTGTCAAGTGATCTGAGCTATGATTTTTTAAATCAATCTTGTTACAATGTTACTATGTGATTATTTGTTTTTATTCACAAACCCAAAACAATTAGGTTCAGATACCAATGCTCTACCAACTGTCTGCAAAATATTTTTAATCAAACAACCCAATGTGCAATAAGTCATCTCTATGAAGATGTTCTCCAGGGCATTACTCAGTTCCAATATTCAGCTTTGGGATTTAAACAAATTGATTAATCAAAAAAATCTAATTCATCATCAAAATAGTTATATGCGGTGCGGTGATGTTGTTGGAGTATACTTGTGATGTATGATTTAAAAGCACGCAACATTGCAAACACAAAAATCCGCAAAACAGCAAGGTCACAAAAAGTGAACCCCTGAATTAGAAAAAAATGTAATGTGTATATGTGAATGTGCTCTAGTTGATTTTTGCTTTATAAATGTGAGGTTTGAAGTGAAAAACAATCTGTGAAGTAGGGATAGGCATCTACTAGTTCTTTGAAAGTCCCTCTCCTTTTGTGTAACCCATTTTTATTGTATGTTATGTATTATTTATAAGATTTGGCCTTTTCATGTTGCTCAAACAAATACAAAAAAAAGCAAACAAACAAACAAAGAGTCCCAGCCCTCTTTCAGGTGACAATATTTTGAAATGGTACAGAGGCTGAGATATATGGCACAGCACCAGAGTAACAGCAGAGTGAACCATCTGGGCTTTAAACTCTCAAATGACTTCTGATGATAATGTGCAGTGTTTAGCTTCTGTTCAGAGTGAGACATCAGCTGCTGCCACACTCTCTGCCTCAGCCTTAAGATCTCACTGATACCAACAAGTCTCAACCGGATCTATACGGATTTACCATCTCGCTGCGCTAATCTGGAACAGCCTATAGATTCCAATTCACAATGTCATTAGTCTCCACATAGTTTGTCATTGAAGTAGAAGGTCCTGGGTTTGATTCCTACGCTATGGATGTATTTTGGTGGCCAGTGTTACGAAAAAGAAAAACAATTGTAAAGTGCCTTGTTGGACCTTGGTAGAAATAGTACTTACTTTGGTAATTGGTAAATTAAAGGGGGGCAACATTTAATACTAAATTATTTCTGATGATTGGTATCACATTTTCAGAGGATTTCACTCACAAACAAAGCAATAAAATCAAGCAAGTACAGCAAGTTAAAAAAGTCTGCACATAATACATACATTGCATAAGTGGTGTGTAAAAAAGCAGGAAGAAAATACTGAGCAAGTATAAATTGTTTACAATAGCATGGGAAGCCAATACACTGGCAGACAAGGGGCCTTTTCTTCCTGATAACTGAGCAACTTAAAGTAGCTATACGTGAGATTTTCGGGTCAAGTCATCATTAAATAGCCCTCATTTCTCAAAATGCATTAATAAACCATGCTCTTTTCCAATACTTCTTAAACTGATAACATTAGTTTAGCCAAGAGATATTTGGATTTTAAAATCTAAAAATCTTGTTAGTGTTTTCATTTTGATGTCCCGCTGTCCACCGTTTTACCAATCAGAAAGTCTGAGATCCAGGTTGCCAGAACTCAACGCGTCGAGAGCTAATCTCACTGGTGTGCGTCCGCAGTACTAAAAAAGGTCTCGCTGTGTTGGTTTTAGATTTTTTTTTTTGACAGACCTCATGTCTATTCAGCTATTATGGCCCTAGCTGGATTTTTCTGCATATCTGGCAACCTGAGTCAGGGAGAGTAGGAGAGGTTGCAGTACCACTTTTGTCCAGATTTTTACACATTGCTCCTTTCACATCAAAAAATGTATTCATTGACAAAAAGAGATGCACACAATCTACCTCTGTCAATGTATTTAGCAATTTCAAAATTTGCATAAACAAAAAAAACTAAGAAACAATGCATCTAATGTAACAATGGATTTTTATCATGAATGGTCGCAGTAGAAAATACCAAAAAAATAATCATTCAAAATAGATGATTTTACTCCCTTTTATTTCACTGACAGTCTTAAAACAAACAAGGATTGACAGATGGATTAGAGATTTGCGCAGTGGCAGAGATTATTCCACTGAGCAATTAGACTATGGTGCAAACATTAGTCTCCAACATTGATGATCCAGTCCCTCTCACCTTTGGACACACTGACATACGGGTGACATGGGCCTATACATCACTTTACTCGGAACTCTACGGCCCTTTCTCTATGTTGACATTTAGAACGTAGTAGCCTGTTTAGGGAGGTCAAAAAATATTGTTGATGAGTTCCCACCACCGCTGACCCATTATAGATGTTGAAAGGTAGTGATTATGCCAGCAAGCGACCGAGACCAAAACACAGAAGGCCAAACAATAGCAGCAGGTCACCTTGACACGGCCGCCTGCTGCAACCAGGAGAAAATGACTCAATTACAACACACGCACATGGTGGCAAGAGAAGTAGGAGAGCTTCAGATGAACGGGGGGAGGGGGGGTGGGGGGGGGGGGGGGGGTGCGGAGGCGGAGGGGGGGGACACGGGAAAGGAAATGTAAAAAGCTGTGGATTCAAGGTAGAAATTAAAATGTTTTAACACGCTTAACTGGGTCAATTGAACAAGAATTACAGACCTCACACTACTTTACTTTCATTTCATTTCACTTGTTTTTTCATTTTGGGTTATACTGACGATTGCTCTTCTCAATATTGCCCAATTTCATGCCTTCTGTCTCTTCCCCTTATTATACCGACAAACCACATAACACCACTTTATCACCTCCCAGGATTGGAGAGAGCACAGCGAGTGAGAGGATTTCAGTTTCACACAGCTTACAATAAAATTCTTTGCATAACATACTGCATCCAAATGTATATTTGAAAATTAAAATTGAATCTAGAGAAGAGTCCCGATGGGGTAAAAAAATTGTGTGTATGTCTTTAGTCTCATGATGCTTCTTACAACCAGCCGACAGACAACATGGACACACTTCTACATGGACACTCGTTTTCTACAGTATTAATAAAGGTGGAATGACAAAAACAAAAACAAAAACATAATGTGTATCCTCAAAGCGTGGATACCTAACTTTCAAACCACAATAATGGAATCCCAATTTCCATTTTACAGAAAAGTGAAAAAGAGAGGCCCACGCTCACTCAGCGAATCAGCGCTCACAGCCAAAAGAGTCAGGTAAAAGAGGAATATATTGTAGTCTTGATTTATTGATACATTTTACTTTTATAAGACTCTTTCTTTTAAGACAAACAGGAAAAATTCCTGAACAAAAGTTAGACAACCCAGCTTTAAACAGGACATGGTAATTATGTCCTGCCACACAGTATGGGCCTTAATGCAACTGTGAAAACGTAGTCATAGAATTGCAAGCATCGCTTATCAAAAACAAAGTGAGCTTGTTTCATTCAAAATAATCTATGTTACACAGATTCAGAAAATCTGACTGCTTCCTTTCAAAACAATAGAATAATGAAAAATTCCCTCAGAAAAGAGAGAGATTGTTGGTCTTCCCAACTGTGTGACCTGAGTATTTACACTAAGTACAAAAAGCCAACTTTACATATGTAAGTGTCAAAAAATAAAACTATAAAATAGACAAAAGCTGTGAAATGTTGCTTTCAACAATAGCTACAACATGAATGTGAACAATAACTTTAGTGATGTCTTGATGCAGACCCAGATATGAGTCTATAACATGACTCTATCTGGAGTGGGGTGACCCAGTGTGACTGGGGGTGCAAGGGTGTCCGGTGTGTGGGTGTGGGGTAAGCAGACACTGAGAAGCCTGGACCAATGTAGGGTCACTCTGTCAGCTGCTGTCTCACTATCCAGCGCGGTTAAAATTTAATTGGACCCAGTTTAGAGACTACTTTCACAACAGTGTCTCGGGGCAAAGCGGAATCCATTGCACTGTGGATTTTCTCAGGACATTTCTCAGAAGTCGTGGTAAAGATGCCAAAACAAACATGGCAGATATTAAACCCGATACTTTGTGTAATTGTTATGACATATTTAGAGAAATTATAACTATGCTGTTTGTAGCCACGCTGACTGCGATGGCTGAGATGGAACAAAGACTGATTTTTGGCCCACCCGAAAGCAGCATGCAAATGAATTGAGAGAAAAAGCACAACTTGAGAAATGCATGAGTATCTTTAACTCTTCTTCAAGGCGAGCCCTTTCTGGAAAACATAATAACAAACTTACAATATAGCTTCTTGGTCAATTTTTGCAGTTTGCTCAAGACTGACTTGTAACTGGTTGGACATTGGCTCCGAACATATATACAGTAGAATTGATTATAATTAAAAAAGATCAGATATTGTGCCTTGTTTTATAAGGTTTGAGTGAAAGGGATTTGTGCAAAACCGTCATAAATCTACTGTGAATCAAGCATTGTCCTGCTTTCAAAAACCACAAACACACACACACACACACACAAAAATGGTGTTTCCACAAATGTGCTCCCTCACTTTTCCTCGGTTACTTTGGTCATTTGCTTACAGTGCTTTAATTGTCAAAGCATAGCTCTGAACTCTTTTGGATTATTTAGAGCGTGGTTAAAATGAAACATACGAACCCAACAGTAGGCTTTCTTCATTCCCAGAATTTAAAATGACACACAAATACAACCACAAACTGTCCCCATAGTTGTTAAAGTTATGTTTCTTTTTTTTTTTCCAGGCTTGATCCAGCGGTGAGAGAGGGCGGTGAGTGAAGCTGCAGTGTCTCATGGTTAAATGATGGGGGCACTCAGCGGGCTTTTGAAACACTAAGTAATTGGTTTTTCCTGGCAGAATGGGGCCAGGGCTATAGCTTAGGGCAGCAGCGAACCCTTCCACAGCTAAAGGTCCTGCCAGTGACGCTGTGCTACGCTAAAGCTAAAGAGGACACGCAAGCCCACCCCAAAATCTCCATTCACAGCACGAGTTTGGACACATTTGAAGGATGTGGCTACAAAGAAGAAGAATTTGCATACATTTTCCCCAATAAAATCAGTAAGTTGCAAGGTTTTTAGAAACTTCTTGATGCTGTAATTTCTGCTCATACCTCCATGTTGTGTTTTGATCTTTCCAGTTGTTTTACCAAGAGACTCTTTTACTCCATAATTAAATGACAGTCAATCCCAGTCTATGCCAAGTCTATGCATGAAAGAAAAAGCTTGATTACACATCAAATTATTTTCATTATAAATATTGCGCTTGCCTTTATTACGATAACAATTTTGAAAAAACATTTAACATAATACTTATTGACTTTAACCGTTAGGTGTGATACAGAGTTAACTTTGAGTGGTATTTGTCTAATGCTGTATCCCACATGTGTCAAAGTCAAGGCCCACAGGCCAAATCCGGCCCGCGAATGAATTTTACATGGCCCGCTGCCTGTCATTGACGCACTATTACGTCAATTGCGTTTTCCGCTATTTTCATGTTCCCAGATGTCTATTATATCTAATATGTTTGGGGATAAGCTTGATAGCATATTGAATCGAGCCAGCAGGTGGCAGTAGTGTTCTCTGAATGGTTTGAAAACAGCTAGATGCACTTGTTGTGCCTCTTTTTTCTCAGCTTTTTGGTTATTTCAGTATAACTTCCCTCTACTCAACTGGGGATTACAAGCTAGAAACAAAATTATTTTTGCTGATGAAAGTAGACAGTCTATTCTTTCAGAATCTGGTTTCAGATTTCAGATGGTCATAGTACACAATATTCTGTGGGTCTTGAAATATCTATAAAAATCATCAAACTGCTGGCAATATGGGAGTACCTGTTCTGAAATAGGCTGGCAGGCAATGAGTTAATAAACATTGAACCAGTCCGGCCCTCGGCTCGCAGCAAATTTGTTTTTTTGGCCCTCTGATGTATTTGACTTTGACATGCCTGCTGTATCCATATGTCCTTTGACTAAAAAGAGGATATGGGAAAACTCTAAAAGCTATTGATCTCATAGACTATAAAATACATTCACTCAAGACTAAATGCACACACACACACACACAAGTAAAAGCCAAATCCTTTAGTGCAAGAACAGGTATAAAACCAAATCTTTAACTCCATATAACTGCATATAACTGCAGTTGTCCCATATACTAAATCCAGATATTACTCATCTTGTTGCTTACTGAAGAGACTGAGAAACAGTGATTCTATTCTATTTTTGTGTTTAATTCTTAATCAAATCAATAAGCTTCATTTTCCCTGTAGCCAATTCAGATTTTTGCTTTTTACCCCTCCTCCAATGTCACTAGGTGCGGCCTGTCTGGAGCAGTGACCACTATAGGGCAGCCCATCTCCAGATGTTGAGGCTTAGTCAAGTCTCTGTTTGATCGATGGTGATGCAGATGTGATTACAGTAAAGTCTTAATTCTGTTTGGCCTGCTTATTGAATTATATATATATGTTTAAAACTCAATAAATCAATGTATACGTTAGTTTTTTCATATTTCTGGTCACCACCACCGACATGTTAAGTGAAAAGGACAAAAAGTGGAGTCATTAAACGTAAGAGATAGAGGACTAATGAAATCAACGACAATAGTAAGTGAAACAAAACAAAACAAAACATCTTTATAAGAAACATGTGAGGAAACTTTTATGGGAAGCCCGGTTGCTGTATAGAAAGTGTCCTGCATTCTGTAGCTAATTGAACAACTACCTAACCCTATCAAAACAGCTACATTCGCATCTAAAGTTTTAATGTGCACAAATCAATTCAATCCCAAATATTTTCAACAACTTTAAGTAAGTAAGCAAGTAAGAAAACTTTATTACAAATAACTTTTCAAAAATACAAATCCTGTGCAGCCGGCACACCCAATTCTATCTGTTCCATACAGATGTTGCATACTCACAACATTCCACATACAACGTGTACTTGCAATCTCTCACACTTTGTCCCTGAGAAGCCAAAGTCGGGCGTGTGTATCCCTCACTCTGATAGACTCGCTGCAGTCCACCCGAGGCCTGCGCTGCGCTGACAGACGGATGAGCTGCTGTGTACAGTATGTGTGTGTATTCTCTAAGTGGAAGGACCGATCGCCGCTGCATGGGTGTGGAGCCACAGAGGGAAAAGAGCTGGAGTCTCTCTCAGCCCCAGGCGCTTCAAAATGCATTATATATATTGGCCTACATGCCACTTCCTCTGCTGGGAAAGAGAGAACAGAGGAGAGCGGAAAATGTGGCTACGGCTTTGGGGAAATCGCCTTTTAGCCATTAGGATGTATTAGGATAATGTATACAGTCGTGATTAATGGCCAAATATTATGTAAGTCTCGTCAATAAATTATTGGTGACAGGTATACATGTGGTAATAACATGTTGTCGCCCATTTACTTTTGGCCGATGACTGATGAATTGTTTAGTTTTATAAAGACATAACACTTTCAAATCCACTGCTGTTTTGATTTTTTGGGATGTATTCAATAGGTTTATACCTTATTAACGTATCACACCTACAGAGGAAAGGAATTTTTGTAAGAAATATTCGATAATAAAATGTACAAATGTTCTCCCAGATAACAATTTGATTGTGATTAGATTAAAATCCAATGCATGTGGATGGGCCGATGATTACAGATACTGTATATTAGCTATACAAAAATGAGAAGTTTGACTTCTGACAGTTACCATAGTTACCATATTTTTCAGTGGCCTTCCACCACAATGTAAAACTATGGGCTTTTGGGATGTCATACAAAGCCAACCTATTGCTTTCTACGAGCAAGGATTCTTGCTCTGACCTCTGACTTATGTGAGCCATAAATAATCACAACAAAACGTTGGATTGTATCATTCCAAATAGTTCCCTCGTGTTTATCTATCTGTGCTTTGAGATTTTTACAAAGAGGAGTAATGCCATTAACCACAGCAATAGAAATATAAAGTATTGTTTTCCACTGATACATTTTCTAACGTAAATCAATGATCAGGGTTAACTGCTTGAAGTAAATGCTAGACTTTGACATATTTCTCCTACAGACCGTAGTGTCTTGGAATCCTTCTTTGATATGAGTTTATTTTGTCAGTCTCAAAACACAATTGCCAATGCTTATTTTACTTAAAATAAGAACCAATTGAGCAGATTCTCACATGGAATGACAACAGTACCAATTGCAGTACTTTTTTTAAACAGCAAAAAACAATATATTGCATGGGAGGTCTGTCCCAGTAATATCAAATGTGTGGAAGGAAAAATACAAATTTGTTGTCAATATTAATCATTATGATTTATTCTCAGAGATGTTTAACATTGTATTTGTTAAAACATTACATTACATCAAACACTTCAGGGGAAGATGGAAGTTACTGTTGAAACAGGTCAAGGTAATAACTTTCTACTCACGACAAATCTGCAGTGTTTAACTGCGGCAAAGGATAAAAGCACATAAGTCTAATGCATAGGAATCACATGAGAAAAGGAGCAATACACTGTCGAATATGTGAAAATAACTTCAAGAAGTGCAGGTCTGCCACTATCTTGTTACTTTTGGTGAGAAATTTGACTGTGATTTCGGAGGCCGCTGGAGCTCGTCAATAACACTTTGAAAAGTGTGTGAATTATACATAGCAGTAGTCCTACGTCTGGGCTGAAGGAAGAAGCTGTTGCGGGTAAAAAAGGGAGAGAATTTTGGCAGTACTAAAATGTGTGCAAGATGTTTTTTTTTTTCAAACAAAAATAGAGATCAACTTTGCAGGACTATAGCCTAACTAGTCATTTTCTTAAGTTAAAAGAAAGCAGAAAAACAAAGTGAAATAGTATGAGTTGCTGTCATTACTTTCCATCTTCAAAGGCAGTCATATGCTAACTCATATTTCCCTGTGTGTTCAAACAATAATTATAATACTAATACTAAATCATCATGTTATGCATATGGTAACTTTCTGGGCTCGCAAAGTCACCTTACAAAAAGGTACAATGTTGAACGCAAAAGACAAAATTGGTACTTTTCAAAGAACATATTTTGCCCCATATTCCTTCCCCTGTCTAAGTGTGCATGTTTCAATTCCAGTTTGTTCCACAAGATGAATCAGTTACTGGTCACAGATTGTTATTTATATTGGTATTGGCTAATTCAAAAAACTCTAGATCAGGGGTGCTCAATACGTCGATCGCGATCTACCAGTCGATCGCAAAGGTAGTATTGGTAGATCGCATTAAATAAATAAAAAATTACACATTCTAAACGAATATATACAAAAAACTCCGGGCAAAGTGGAGATTTTTGAAAACTCCGTTAATGCATTTGTGTGTAGACAGAGATAACCAGAGTTTTGCGTTCTCGCACGCCACAGTACCCCCTTAAATTCCTCTGATCACTGAAGCATGGATCATACTACCTTAAAAACTGTTCGCTGTGAGATGCTCGCAGCAGCGAACATCCTCGCTCCACATCAGAGAGCAGCAAAGTGATCGCGGGGACTCACGCTCGAAAACAACCAAACCAGGACTAAACCAGGACTAAACCAGGACTAAACCAGGACTAAACCAGGGCTGAGGACGGGGTCAGTGCTTGTAAACATACGTCTTTACTCTGAGTGTCTTCTATGACTGTAAAAGTGCCGTTACCGGCGTCTGCATCAGAACTCGGCCCACTTCTGTGTTTTTCCCCAACGCAGGACAGGACGTAAGAGACGCACATGTTTGGAATGTTACGAATGTGATTGAAAACGCAGATGTGTGGATGCAAATTATTTTATAAACTGAGGAGGGGAAATATTTGGATTTAAAAAAAACAGGCATGGCACATGGACATGGCACCACAGTCAAATGACATCTGTGTTTTACTCAGTAATGTTTTACTGACACTTAGGTGACTGCACATGCGCAAACAACCGCGCTCAGTGCAGGAAAGCAAAACCACGACAAACTTGTCAGCGAGTTGCCACCAATTTTCCGGACTATGCATCCCTGGCCGATTCAATTCAGTGCAAGTCATAAGAGTAAACTCGGGAAATGACAAAAAATGTACATAGGTAATTGTGTTGTGTTGTGCTATATTGGCTCATGCGGTTTTGCATGTACATAAACATACATTGTAGGTATAAAGAATATTTTTTGAAATATATGATTTGCATTTTTGTAGTAGGTAGATCATTTTGACTTGATC